GCACTAACGAGCTCCTGGTCACTAATCAAAGGTGCGCCCGCGGCCGCTGTTTTTATTCCACTGTATCCGTTTTCATATTGGCCCCGGCCCCACTTGGATCAGCTCCTCTTCCACCTCAGCGCCGAGCTATTTCCAGGCAGCTGATGAAGGAACGAGGTCTGCAAACCCTCATGGCTTTTTTCCTCTTAAGACCACATGGGCTGGCTGAGAGTGGCCGGATCTCCCCCTTTACTTCTTCCCATGGACATGACAGAAAGCAGACAACCCTACATGCCCACCTGCTCCCAACAGGAGGGATGGGAACAGCTGGAAGGACATGGCCAGTGGTTAAAACACACCAGTTTCTAGCACCCAAGGGGAAACCTTTCCACTCCCCAGCCTGGCGAACCTGTGTCCAATGGTGGCAAAAGCATGAATTCAGGTCTGCAGATCCACAGCAAGACCCAGCCCCTGCTCTGGGCCATGGTAAGATCAAAAAGAAGAGGTGGGACATCTCCTGCCCTGTCTTTCCACGGCCAACAGTCAGTATATGCAGAGCTGCTTGTGCCAGGGTCAGCTCTCGTGCCCCCCCATTCACCCCACACATCAGGAAGGGGGCTCACCTTGGCAGCCAAAGTAGTTTGCATTCTCCATGTTGAAGTAGCCGTCTTTGCACGTCGAGCAGAACTGGCCGCAGACATTTGGCTTGCAGAAACACTGCCCATCACCCTAGGACAGAAGCAGGCATGGAAGCTCATTCCTTCACGCCACATCTAAGCTGTTTCTCAGTTATTTGGGTCCTAGTCTGAGACACTGGAGAAGCATTCTGAGTTTTATGCTCTACATGGCTTCCTGTGTGTGGGTGGCCACATAAATGACCCAACAGTGTAGGCAAACAAAAAGCCAAGCATCCTGGGCCTGACCCAGAAATATTTAGGTGCCTAATTTATGACAGGTCTTAATCCTGTGTTCTCATGCAAGCCCAGGCTGTGGTGCAACCTTTGAGAGCTCAGCGTCAGGACTGGCTTCTCCAGCAGCTGCTGGGAGAGACAGAGCTGAAACACTCCCAACACAGCACATGCTCGGAAGCAGAGAGGAGCAAACCCACCTGCTGGCACTCTGCGATGCCACTGATGGTGCCCCTGGTCTCACACTTGCAGCCTGGAGAGAAGGAGGTGAACAAGAAAGCTGTAAGATCGATCAGCCCCTGAGAAGAAGCCTGATGGGGGACAGGAGGACACTGGCTGGGTTAAGTGGAGCTGGAAACTGGTCAAGTAGAGGGTTGTGCTGCACAAGAGCTCATGTTTAATTTTGGACAATTACTGTCGAGGACACAAGTACCAAAAACATTGGCCATAGAAAATTAAGTCTCCAGGGAGGGCTGCGAATGGCACAACTCATTGCATGACCCCTGTGTTTCATCCCAAACAAAAAGCTCCAGGCTCCAGCCTTTCCCCGCTCCAGGTGGAGGTTACCGAGACCACTCCAGCTTTGACATCACTTCAGGGTGAAGACGAAAGGAAGGACATCCCCCCCTTCCATCCACCAATGATGGTCCCCACTGGCTTGGGTTTGGGTCTTGCACGATTACAACACTAAAGGGACTTTTTGGGGCTGTGCAAATGCCATTTCCTTACTCAGGCAGCCGTAAGGGTTCTCTGGAGTCAGGTTCCAGTATAAGGGCTTGCATCTGTCACAAGCTGGGCCTTCAACGTATGCCCGACACGCACAGGAGCCCTGGGGAAAGGGAGAGGGAGAAAAGAGCAGGTGAGAATTTGCAGCATGGTGCCTGAATGTGCTGTCTGATACTCTGGTGTGGGTAATGGCTGCTTTAAGGCTGAGCTTAAGGAAGGACTTGGCCCAAAGTGAGAATAAGGGGATCATGCAAAAATGACCTGCAGGGTTTGGTGGGTTCATTCAATACTCACCGGGGCCAGCGAGGGATCTGCAGTCACTAACCCTGCTGGGTTACAGGAGCCCACTGGAAAAGAGAGACACAAGGAGTGATCTATAGAGCTCACACCTTGTCCCTAAAGGGGGTTTTTCTTTCCCTTGCAAAACTCTTGAGGGATGATAAGCCCATTTACCAGCACCACACTACTATGTCCCAAACCACTGGAGTCATACCACATGAGGGAGTGAGAACCATAGAATCAGCTAGGTTGGAAAAGACCTTTAAGATCATCAAGTCCAACCACTTCCCCAGCACTGCCACAGCCACCACTAAACCATACCACCCAGGGTCTCGTCTACACGGTTTCGAACACTTCCAGGGATGGCGATTCACCCACATCCCTGCCCCACCACTGCCCCGGGCAAGCTGTTCCAATGCCTGACCACCCTTTTGGTGAAGAAATTGTTCCTAATATCCAGTCTACACCTCCCCTGGTACAGCCTGAGGCCATTACCTTCACAGTGTGGAAATCCATAGGCGCCCGGCAGGCAGCTATCGCAGCGCAGCCCCGTCACCCTGGGCCGGCAGCTGCACTGCCCTGTGTCCTGGTTGCAGGTGCTGTGCAGGGAGCCCTCCCGGGAGCACTGGCAAGCTGCAGGAGAGGGGACAGCAAGTGCTGAAGCAGCAGGGCACAGGGGCTCCTGCATTCAAGGCTTCCCACCAGCAACCTCTTTTGTCTGCCTGACCTTCATCCCCATCAAAGCAGCCAGAAATATGGGTTATAAATAACATGCACACTCATTCTTTGCTTTTGGTTGAAAACACCCCATTTTTAAAGAAAACCAAAAAAGAACAGAAGCTGCAATGTTTATCACACCTATTTTTACATACATTTATGCGTATTTCTGGAGGTGGGGAGAAGTTTTGGCTAAGGAAAAGGGGAATGTGTGATTTCATCCCCTAAAGGTCAGCAACCAGTGACACATCAGCCCATTTGCACCCAAACGCCCATTTGGCCATCAGGGTCTGCCCTGAGGATGTTGTATGTGGGCAGCTGGGCCGGCAGCCGGGGGCAAGGGCAGGGCAATGGCTCTGCTGCTTCCTGCATGACTTGTCTGCTGCGAATGCATGTCGAGATCCTGCTGCCCTATCACATGAAAGGTCAGCGAGCTGCCAGGGAGCTGCCTGTGCCCTCCTTGCCCAGCCAGCACTCCTCAAATCCCTGCCAAAGGGGATGGTTTAGGCTGACACCCCCAGACTGGCTAACAGCAAAACACTGTTCATAAAACAACAGATTAAAAACAAACCAGGTTCTCTTTTTATCCCTGCTGTGATTCCTCTACAGCTCTGCAATTTGGACAGTGCTTTATGAAACAAAAAATACCAAACCCAGAAGTGACTACTAACTCCTGTGAGACCACTTCATCTCTGCCTCCAGCCTCTTCAAAGGCATATCGCCGGCATCAGCATTTGTGAGCAGCCCTCTGCCAGCTGGCTGCAGCTCAGGCGTCTACATTTAGTATGGTGCAAGAGGGTGATGATGCTCTTTTGTTGCTTCAGGGAAATTGTATCACAGATGATTTTTTAATGAGCACTAAATTCTTGCCGGGAGACATGTGAGTCCATCTGGCTTCCAGTCGGACTGCCAGCAGGGAGGGAGATAGGGATACTGCTGGGAGGAGTATGCAGCCCTGCCACAGGCATTGCTCAGCCCCGGCACCAGCAGCTCTGCGATTCAGAGCCCATGGAAGTGGATAGAATCACAGGATCATGGAATCATTTAAGTTGGAAAAGAACTTTTAAGATCATGAAGTCCAACCATACCCCGCCCACCCCCACCACTAAACCATGTCCCTCAGTGCCACATCTACATGTCTTTTAATATCTCCAGGTATTTTTTTATATATATATATATATACACACATATATATACACACACACATATATATATATACGCACATATATATATATATACACACACATATAAATACTCCACCACTTCCCCTTATCCAGTGCTTGACAACGTTTTTGGGGAAGAAAGTTTTCCTAATATCCAATCTAAACCTCCCCAGGAGGCTGGTTATGGAAAGGAAAGCCATTACAAAGCCAGCCGCAGCAGCTATTCCCTTCCCTTCCCCGAGATCGGATGGTGGTTACTCACGTGTGCAGCTGGGGTACCCGTAGAAGCCCAGGGCACACTGGCTGCAGGTATGTCCTGCAAAGTTCATGTGGCATCGGCACTGGCCAGCAGGGCTGCAGTTGTTGTCCACTGCACCCCGGGAATCACAGGAGCAAGCTGTAAGAGCAGGAGTCTCAGTAGCCTGATGATTCAAGGCCAACCACTGCTGGTCTGAATCATCATTCAGCCCCACAGGAATTAGCCATTTCCATCAGAACTAAATTAATTCCTTAATCCCCTGGAAAGACAGGCAGTATTTTTGACTGGAGTCATGGCCATACCACAAAAATGCCACTGAGGGTTTTTTACAGCCCATTCAACATTCCTCAACAGTTTAGTAGGTTAATGCTAAGAAGACAAAAAAGGCACAAGCTGAGATACCAGCTCACAACAGGGTTGTGATGAGGAAGCATGACTGATAAAAACTACTGTCTTCCCGGCTTGGGCATGATCCATGACCTCCAAAACAAGCCTGCCAAATTCACAGTGAAAACCATATGGGTTTTGATTTCGAGAAACACCAAAACTTGCAAAAATAGGCATGTTTCTCAGCAGGTGATTGAAGGTTAATGCCCTTACCATAGCAGTGGGGGTAGGAGTGGTACCCAGGGCTGCACTGCTCGCACCGTGGCCCAGCAAACTCGGGTCTGCAGAAGCAATTCCCATCAGAGTCACAGCCTCCTGGCAGGGTCCCAACCGCGCTGCAGCCACATACTGCAACAGAGAGAAACCGTGTGTCTGGTGCTGGAGCATGGGGCAAAGCTCATGGTAATATGGTTTTCTTCCCGAGGTTCCTAGATGGGCACTTAGGTGGTGTTCTAAGCATTCAAACTGTTGGTCCTTGCCCATCGCTGTATCCTCCAAAACACCCACAAAACCAGTTTCAAGTCCTTCAGAACCTGCCAGAAGACTCTGGCTGTGTGCATGCCCACCCAGGCCTACGGCTGACAGATACTCACGCTGGCACAGAGGGTAATTGAAGTAGCCGGGAGCGCACTGGTTACACAAGTGCCCTTCAAATCCCGTTCGACACAGACACTGCCCTGTCTCGCTGTCGCAGGTGCCATCGTACTGACCGGGGCCGGAGCACTGGCAAGCTGGAAAGCAACAGGGGCACTAATAAATAAGCAGCTTCTCCACCTTTACTCTTCCTAGGAAAGCCAGAGAGCCTGTTCCTCTGGGGTGGAAATGGTGGAGAAACCATGGGGGACACAGCTGACAGCAAGCGTGCCTGGCCCATAGCTTATATCCATAGGGAATTTCCCAAGAGCCCCCCAGGGTGGGAGGATGCTGGAGGGTCAGGGCTGGGTGGACTATACCAGCAAAAGTCATGGGAATTTGTCACTTGGAAGGGGGGCTGGAGAATTCCTCCACTCCAGGGTGAGCGGAGGACAGGGAGAGGCACACTCCTCCCCAGCAGGGCGAGCTTGGGGCTGCTAACCCTGAGTCACTCACGCTGGCAGCCGGGTCCGTAGTGGCCTGGGGAGCACTGGTCACAGTGTGTGCCCTGGAAGTTGGGTTTGCACACGCACATCCCCACCTGAGGGTCTTTGCGACAGGCGTTGCCTTCAGTCCCACCGGCGTAGCAGTCACAGTCTGGAGTGGGGGCACACACAAGAAACACCACACACCATCAGTCCATCTCTACTGCTGGGCAGATGACCCGTAAGGACAGGGAAGGTATGAGAGGCAACAGCTCAAGCGTTTACCTCCTAATAACATTCCTACAAGATGCAAGTGTTTTAACCAAACCCTGCTCAGGTGATGAATACACCAGGCTCGTGGGGTTGCAGGGTGGTTGGGAGACCTCAGCCACAGAGCTGATTCAGTGCAGCATTGCCCAAGAGATGTGCAGGAATAACCAGAACCTTCAGCTAATCACGCTGGGGTTTGGGCTTTCTCTCTGGTCACTCCATGCTCAGCTGCACCTGAGACCTTCCCACTGCCAAGGCAAGTGGGTGCTGCAGGCAAGCAGCGCTGAGGCTAGCCCTGCCTTCCCTGACAGCACCAGAGCTGGGAGAGGGAAGGGCAAAAATCATCCAAGAACCAGAGGGAAGGGGAGGTGGGGAAATGAGAAAGGAAGTGAGACACTGCAGCTCAGGAAAGAAAAAAACTGTCTGGAAGATAAGAGTTTAAAGTATCAGAGGAAGGAAAAGGTTATCTGGAGCACAGTGCAGAGCATGAGTTGAGGGACGATTCCGTGAGAAAAGAGACAAAAAAGCTCAAGGGAGAGGAACTGAGACAAGTGAGTACAAGAGAGGAGGGAGGTGGAGGGGAGCAGGGAGGAGAGCACGGATGAGCTTTCAAAACAGAGAAAGCAACGCAGCAAGCAGCTCTGGGCAGAGGGGCCATCAGCATGGACCCACCACACAGAAAACACAGGGCAAGCAGGTGTGGCAGAAGGACACGTTTGTATGTGGACCCAAAGGCTCAGATTTGGGAGAACTCCGCTCGGGTTCCATCTCAGCCACAGCCCCTCTGTGATCTTAAAGGATGTTCCTTTACAGGGAGGCCAGAAGAGACATTCCCATCAGCTGCATCCCCTCTCAAAACCACTCTCTGTCAGGGCTGTCTCTTACAACACATGTGCCCTGTAAGCTGAAGACCTGATCTTGCATTGGATGGTGAGATATAACAGAAATAGTATGGTGATTGAGAAAAAAATCAAGGAAAATGGCACTGCTTACTTATTATCTGTCCTGCAGGAAGCACTTGTTCTCCAGTGTCGTTGTGAGTGAAAGCTGGAATGGCTGCACAGAGAAAGAGACATTGCACAGGTCATCACACACACTCAAAGAAGTTGTGTCGGGATATCAAGGGGTTGATGGTCCCACAGCTGAACAGGCCGAATGCAGATGTGGAACATGGAACAAAGTGCAGACATTCCACTAAACAAAGGTCCATTATAGCCATTCTTAACCTGGGATCTGGAAAGAGGACTTTCACAGAAAGGGAGAGATGAGACCTCAGCCAAATGGGAAGCTCCTGTTGACTCCAGAGAGCTGGATTCAGCCCAACCCAGCTCTGGTACAGCTTCCACCCAAGCCATATGTGGACTTGTCTCCACCTGCAAGAACCCTTCCTGGGACAGGAGTGCCACATGTCATGGGGAAAAGGCACCTGGAGAGCAGCCCCAACTGGAGCTGTTGGCTCTTCCTGCACCCCACAGGTCTGTGGGGTCCCAGACCTGACCACAGCCCCCACTTACGGTAGCAGTGAGGAAAGTCGAGGTACCCCTCGGCGCAGGCGTCACAGTGCTCCCCGGTGTAATTGGGTTTGCAGTAACAGCGGCCGGTGAGGTCCTCACAGGTACCATCGGTGAAGTCAGACTCACAGTTACACCCTGCAGGGAGGGACAAGCCAGCAGCGGTTGTCACTGACTGTGCTCACAGCCATGAGCACCACAGACGCATCGCTACAACACAGAGCCTCTGGAAGAGACCCCACCATCTGCTGCAAATGCTCTCCAAAAATAGAGAGAGATTGGGTCTGCTTTAGAGGAACTGCTGCCACTGTGCTTGTCCCACTGTGAGGTCTCAAGTAAAGCAGCACACCCCGACTGGATTCTCCAGGAGACCCCAAATGCCCAAATGCTGTGGTGGTGGCAACAGTCACAAGGATGCAGTACAGAACAGCTGATGAGTCGTAGCCCCCAGACAGAGCTGGGCTCCCCAGCAAGGATATAACCCACTCCTGCCTAGAAATCCCTGTCTTGGGACATCGACACCAATGGTCTGCAATTGCGCCCTGAAAGAGCACAGAGATGACAGCTAAGACTTGATTTCCCCCTGGGAACAGCAAAGAAGACAACACATTTTTAGCTTGTTCCAGCCTTGGAACATGCCACCACTTCTGGTCTCACAGAGGCTGCAGACACACATACTGTCTGCATGCACACAAGTATCTCCAAAAAAAAAAAGCTCATGTGGCCACAACATGGTGCCAGATTTACCAGACCAGAAAAATCTCTCAGGCCAACACTGTAGTCCACCCTCCCCAGCATCAACGAGTCCAGGAGAGCACCTACAACCTGCAGAGGAGATCACACTCACGATAGCAAATATATGGAGAGTCAATGGGGTGGTCAGGGGACCGATAGTATCCTGGGATGCACCTCTCGCAGTTTATGCCGGTGGTGTGATGCTGAAAGACAGTGGGTTAGAGGGGCGTCAGTTCCTCTACCTGCAGGATTCATGCTCATCTGCCAGGTTTACTAACAGCTTCAGGCGTGTCAGCACACAGAAGACCTAAATCTGCTCACAATTTCACATACATCAATTTGAAAACTGCATCCTGCTATAAAGGCAGTATGAGCCAGGCTCATACTGACCTCGAGCCCATTTCACTTGCTTCGGATGGTAAAATGCCCTGCCCACTTTGTGCTAAGAGGATGGGAGCAATCTGGTTCCTCCCAGCAAGAAAGTACAGCTAGAAGTTTCATACCAGCACATGAATTAACCAGTCACCTTGGGAGCAGAAGAGCCACTTTCCCCACTTCCACTGGGAACTTCAGAGACTGAGGAGACTAGTATTTTGGTGGTCAGAGAAAGATCCAGAGAGCACTGAGCACTGCAAACCAGGCAGGAACTTCCCAATGTGCTCACCACCAACCTGTTCCTCCCAACATCTGCGTCCAGAAAGGTAATGATTGTACCCAGGGGACAGCTATGAACCCAAGTGCTAGTTTCATTACTGGTGTGCACTCCTTTAATCTACGCCTAAGACTAAATTTCTAGGGAGAGAACTAACTAAGGTAACAGGAGGTATTTGAGGGGGTTGGTGGAGCTGCCAGCAACAGCAGAAACAAACACAACGATCTGCAACAACCTTTTCCAGGGGAGTTCTTCAGGCCTACCTGACAGTCAATGCAAACACCTCCCCCTTCAAACTTGTCTTCACGACTTTTGCTGGCTTTGTGGCGATCCACCTCTGGGTCGTAGTAGCAGTCATAGGCATGGCCATTGCAATTGCAAGCTGTAAGTACAGACAGACATTTGCTAAGCCATCAGTCCATGAAGACCCTTCAGTTACCAGCTGGATCTTGAGATATGGACTCTTTCTTGTGGGTTTGACTTTGGATGGGTTACTTTTAATGAGGAAAGATGCTTGAATGCATCTGGGGGATTACAGGATCACCCAAGCTCCCAGAAGCGCTCCAGTTCAAAACCACAGAAGCAGCAACTCTCTCACAAAGCCCAGTCTGCAAGTGGAAGAACGCAGCAGACACAAAATCAGAAGTAAAATTCGTGCAGGCATGTACAGACGAGAAAGAAATTACCCAACTTTGGGGCCTCAAGTAGTCTGGTTTAGAGGGCAACATTCTTGCCTCTTTTATCCCATCCGGGATAGAGGTGAGCTCTTTACAAACCCACAAGATTATGATCCAACTGTCCTTTGCTGCCCCAAGTTTGTAAGAGAGTTTGTAAGCTCCATGCTCTGCATTCCCAGTGCAGCATAAATTCCACTGTCGGCATTTACCAAAGGTTTCTCTGGACAAATAAAGACATCCTGTGTGTAAGCACATCCAAATGTAATTCATCTTGGAGACAGAATTGAGCAATGAGACTTGCCTGCAAGAACTCTTAGACATGGGGGAGGAACAGGAACAGAAGCAGAATCAAAGTCCCATTAGACCTAATGGGCCTCCTCGTGTGAGCGTGTGAGCCTCGACTGAGCACAGTTAACCACCGTGCAAGTGTTCTCTTCTGCAGTGCCAGTGACCTCCACTTCCCCCAGTGCCCCACACCACAAACCCCACCACTGCAATGAACAGCTGCTCTGCACTGCACCAAGGGGCTAGTGAAGCACAGGGCAAGCTGTGCCTTGCAAAGCAGCTGGAAAAGGAAGGAAAACCCCACTCCAACTCACGCTGGCACTCGTTGGCGCTGTCGGCTGTGGCAGGCTTCCACGGGAACTGGTTGAAGCCGGGGCAGCAGCGATCGCAGGACCCGCCGCAGGTGTTGTGCTGGCAGTCGCATTGCAGCCTGTAAGGGAGAGGAATGAGGCAGAGCCAAGCCCGTGGCCATGACAGGGATCAAATGAGGGATGTTTGTTAATCCAAATATTCTAAAAAGAGGATTCCAAGACTTTTTTTAACATTTGAATTGCTGATTTATATCTTTTCTGAGCCAAACTTTGCTCCTCCAGTGCCATTCTCTCCCTTCCTTCTCCACCATCACTCTTATTTTCTTCACATGGAGACATGGATTAGATTAAAATCAGTGTGCTGTTGCCCAGACAATAAAATGTGAAATGGTTGGAGGTGGCAGCCTGAGCTGAAGCGAATTACCTGAGGGGGAATTGCATGGTGCACAAAGATGTCCCCACCACTGTGCAAGGGCAGCGTGAGAGGAATAAATGGTAGCCCAGAGCCAGAGAGGGACGGGGCCACACGGGTCCCATCTGCTCCTCCAGGTATACCTATGCTTGAGAGAGGAAGGCCGTGAAACTTGAATTAAGTCCTTTAGCAGATGCTGGCCCCACGCTCCCTGTACAATGCACCTCCTGCTCTTCCCAGCCAGCACAGGCTGGGCTGTGCTGGGTAAACAGGCGGCTCCAGAGGCACCAGGCAAGAAATCTGAGCAGTGGACTGACGGATCTTGTCCCTGCTCGACCGCAACGGTGATTCATTAACATCAGTGACATCACCTCCAAAACTTCCACTTAGCAGAAGGCGATTCCCTTCCAACACAAATGCTTTCTGTTGTATTAGACTTATGGATAATACAGCATGTTCCAGCTTTTATCTGTTATTACTCATTTCCCCTCAGGGCTGGGCTGCCACTCCCATCTCTCCCTCCTTCAATGCTTTTCCATTCAAAAGCTGTGTTTAAAAATAAATGTAATTTCTTACAACATTAGGAAAAAATGGAGCAGGCATTCTGGGTGAGATGCAGGAGTGCAGCCACGTTCCACCAAGGCTGCAGGGAGCTGAGTGCTTTCTACCTACATGTATTTTTAAGATGCGGGACCTGCAAGTGTACATACAGTGAATAGCCAGAGCATGGGAGAAGTGAACTCATTAAAATGAAATATGGGATGATCTGAAATCTTGGGACAACACTCAGCATGTTTGCTTCAGCCATATACCTATGTGTGGAGAAAGATGGTCACTGAGTCAGGCAACGTATAAACCTACTGAGCAGTGTTTATCTCCCTGGCTGGAGGACGTGGCTCCAGCCACACGCTCCTGCTCTTTAATGTCCAAGATGTTTGAAAGCACTGGTTCAGTTCCCAGAATGCAAAAAGATGGCACTCAATGAGTAAAGATGCACATTTCAGATGGAGAAGGAGCTATTTATTTAGTCTCTGCTGTCCAGAGTTAGCAACAACCTCTTGGAGAGCTCATCTATCACAGCAGCTTTACGGCACCTTGTGCCGAGTCTCTGCTGCGAGTGAATTATGCACAAATGTGCATAAGCCACAATATTTACATGTTTCATTGATTGAATATATACAAGGAAGAAGAGGGAGCGGCTGTGTTCACATAGCACATATTTCCTGGTCATCCTGCCATAAAAAATAAAACCACAATCTTCCCACTGGAACAGATGCTCAGTAACAGAGACTAAGAACAATATCCAGTGAGCAGCTGGGTCAGACAGAGCAGCACACAAGCATTGCATCTGCTTTTGACCAGGACATGTAAGTAGCACAACCAAGAAAAACCAGCCCCTTCCTCAGTATGCTTCTCACTGTGCTGAGGGAAAATCACCTGCAAAAGTGATTCACAGATCTACCAGTACACATGGTGTTTTCCCCTTCCATAATGGGAAAGATTCAGGATTCAGCTGTGGGAAAGCATGCTTGATCTCCTCCTGCAGAACTGCTTCTAACCAGTCAGGCTGCTGTTGTCTTGCTGGCTATCTTCAGCATCAGGCACAGAAACAGCAGCTGGGCTTTCTGGTTGTCTCCTCTCTTGTGGCACCTGTGATGGGGCACTGAACCCACAGAGAGAGTTGCTCTTATGAGACAGAAGCAGAGCACTTGCAGGGTTCTCCTGTGCTCACATCAACAGCAGCCATGTGTTAATGCATGGTTCCTGCCTGGGCTCTCCACCTACAACATGCCAGGTCCCTGCTGATGCTTGTCTCACTGCTCATGGGGTTTGCCAGGAGAAAGGTTTATGCCTGATCCTCTGGTGTTCACCTTTAACCAGGACGATGTCCCTTGATGCAGCCCATTTGATTCTGGGGCCAAGAGAGACAGTTGCAACAGATGCAAAGACCCTTGAGGAGGCTGTAGCTGCCCACACACTGAGGCCCTTGCACATATGCAAACGGGGACCAGACGTGCTACCAGCTTAACACAGCTGGATGTGCAGGCTCCATAACTTGGCACTTCAGAGAAGCTTTCCAAAGCTGGGTAAACATTATCATTTATGGCCAGGAAGTCAGCTCACGAACACGCTCCATCATGTCCTAAAGCCTTTGCCAAGATTACTAGCTCACCTCACCTCTATCAAAGTGCTTGTCCTGCCTTTTTGGGCAACAGGCACAAGAAACACAGGCATGTGCAGAAGAGAGAAGTTAAAATGAGAAGCAGAGGCCTCCCAGACAGGCTGAGGCATAACTGGGATTTTTAATAGTGCTGGGCCAATTCACATTCCTTGTCTCCCTCTATTTGCATTTCCTTGCCCTGTTGCTGTCGCACATCAGCATCTGAAGAGGGACATGTGCAGAGGGACACAGCACACTCCTGCTCAGATGGACTGCACAGATTTCTGAAGAAATTACATGTTTCTGACAGCTGGGGCCCATGACATGAAGGGACAGTGCATCTGAGCCCAAACTGCCTTTGCGATGTCTCTTGTCTGCAGTGTTATGGCAGGTATCACTGTGCTGGCTCTGGGCTAGCTGAGGGCAGAAGGGGTGGGATGACTGCCCAGCAGTGTCCACTTCAGTGGGAAGGCTGGACACAGCTGCTGCTGGAGCCTTGGAGAATGGCAGCATTTCACCAATTACTCATTTTCTCAACTGCAAGTGTTGTATTTCTGCTGACTTCTCCATGCTCCTGGGCTTGCTAACAGGGTACAGCAATGCCAAGAGAAGTTCTGTTTACCCAGCATCTTTGTCCTGATGTATCCCAAAGGGCTTTACAGATGTTATGTGCTGACTGTACAAAGCACCCAAGTAGGAAATGTTTTCTCCTCCTGGCAAGCACAACCTGCTCTGGGTGAAATGCAACAGCTGCTTATGAACATGTGCTGCAACATTAGAGCGTGGTTTGTGGCCAAGGGCGAAGATGCCAAATGCATCCCAATGAGAGTGGAGGAGGAGAATTTGGGGAGGCAGAGACAGTTGTCAGCAGAAGTGGCACTGAACAAGGATTCCCGACACATCTCCCTCTGTTTTCCCTCCCTTCCTGGAGAGTCCTGAGCCAACAATACACCCAAGATGTTAAAATCACTTAGCACCATGAAGCACTTTTGCCTTAGTACACAGATGCTGCATCCAGCAGCACCAAAGGCTAAAACAAAACCAAGGAACTGTGCATTCAAATATTTATGAACTTCCCTTTGTCAGAGTTTGGCATACCAAGGCAGGCTTGCTTACCAATACATCTTTGTTTTAGTACTTAGCAGCTTTAACCTTGGCTCGGACTCAGTGGAATTTTATTTTAGGAGATCCAAAAGCTCTACATGATCCTGATGAGAAAGAAATATAAGCTTCCTTCTGAATCTAAATGTCCAGCTGAATTTATCCATCCCTTTCATAAAGGCAACATTCAGGCTGCGAACAGATGTCTAAGAAGCAAACTTTCATGGTTTGAAGCAGCTCTTTGGCATTTCAAGTTGCCAAGGCAGATGGGAAGAGTCCCATGAGCCCAAAAGTAACTGCTTTGCATGCTCTTGTTCTTTTGCGAAGAGTTTAGCTATGTACATAACCAATTTATGGTTCTTATGAGTAGAAATGGGCAGTAGAGTCTCTGGTTTCTTGGGAGACCATCTGTTTATGAAAGCACTGCCCCAGTGCTTAAGAAGCCATGTGGGATGCAAGAAACTTCTCTGGGCAAGTTCAGAATCCCATTCCAGCACACTGCTCCCATAGGGATGGCAAAGCTGAGGGCAGGGAAACCAGACAGGGAGCTGAACTGCCTGAAAAAGAGCTGAATAATAGCCTGTTTAAACAAACATTTAATTTCTGGTACTTTGGCTGATTCCCTCTCAGGGCAGAGCCATGAACAACAGTGCTGGCACAACTATAAGCTCAGGCCAGGACACTACTCACACTGGAATCTTTCACTCTTAGCACAATTCAAACACTTTTACACAGAACATTGGAAAACATACCTGTAGGGGTCATTAGGGTCTTTGGCATCACAGACGTCTGCATGGCCGTGGCAGACACAGCGCCCTCCAATGCTGATATCTTTGATGCTGTAGTAGTACTGGAGAGCACAAGAAAAGTTGGCCATTGGTATCTTTATTCATAAACTTCATAACTGCCCTGCTCAGGACTCAGCAGGACTTTATACAGTAAAATTTGTAGGGATACTTCCCTCACAGTGACAAGCTGGACCTTGCAGGCTGCAATATCTGCCTACAGTAAGACCCACCACTGCCAACAGAGCCCATTAGCTACAAGTCAGGTTTCCAAACGCAGCCAGAAAGCCACATGTGGTATCAGGAGGCATTTCCCAGTTTCACACTGTTGATGCTAAGCACGGTTCTTCCCAAGCTGCCTCCAGCTCCAGCCTCAGCAGCAGTGGCATCGCTGCAGACGTTTGGGGAGCACAAGTACAGAGAGAGAAAGTCCCCATGGGCAGCATCCAGGGATGTCTTCTCCCCAGAGGTGACACGCACAGCCCTCAAACACTTCCATCTCATTAGCAAGAGGTATCAAGGTGTGCCTTACCCTCCTTGTCACCGTAGGGTCCCTTAAAGCTTTGCCCATGAGGTGCCCGAGCAGAGTGTTGGTCTGCAGGAAGCGCAGTCTGATGTTGGTGGCTTTCGTGAAGTTCCTCAGGAGAGGAGAGTAGGAGAAGTTCATGGCTCCTGGGCGCCCGTTGACCAGAGAGACAACAATCTGTGAATGCAAGCAGGGAAAAAGCCACATTGGATGGGGCTTGGAGCAACCTGGCCTAGTGAAAGGTGTTCCTGCCCATGGCAGGGAGTGGGAACCAGATGATATTTAAGGTCCTTTTCAACCCAAACCATTCTGTAGTTCTGTGAAAACAAATCTGTGCAATCCTGTGAGACGGAGGAAATTAATCTCTCCCTCAGCCGATCCCAATCTTTTCCTCCCTTCAAGACAACTGAATTGGTTCCCTGCCAGTCTCCTTTGGTTTAACTGAGTAGTTTAAATGGCATCCAAAAGTCAATTACTAAGAGCGTCTCCAGTCACTGAGAAACCCTGGAGTTCTCACCTCCCCGTTTTCTAAAGGCACAATCCGGGAGTATTCCGTGGTGCAGATGGCATGGTCATCCTTGGTGATACGATCCACTGTTTGCAGTCCAAACTTCTCAATGCAGTCCCTCTTGGAAGCTGATCATCAACCAGAGATGAGAGCAGTAAGAGAAAAGGAACAATTCAGAGCCCTGTATTGATTTGCCCACACTAAGCAACAGGACAGAAGAGGGCATACTCCTTTTAAAGCATTTACTACACAGAGATTGCTTTGTATCATTAACTCTGTCATTGCTAACATTCACATACTCCACTAAGGGAAGGAATCACTATAAGAGTAATAGGCATGGTCAGAAAATGTCGCACATGACCTTACTGCAGCAAATGAGGGAAGTGAGAATGGCCACTGTACCCACTGTGAAAACTTGCAGAGAAAACCTACCCCTGAGTGTTGGCATGAAGCTCACAGTTTAACCAGCCTGAGATCCAGCCCTGTTCTGAATTTGTTGCCTTGCTGGCACTGGCTTTGCTACACTGCTTGTGCTGAACTGAGGAAGTGCTCTGTGCTGCTAGAGCTCTGCTCATGGAGGAGGAGCTCACACCATCATGTTCACATGGCTCCTTAAGCTCCCAAAGGGTGAGCCAGCACAGAACCATGCAGCGGGAGCAACCACAAGGCACAGCCACCACAGAAATGCCAAAGCCACTCAGAACCACCCCTTGGGGACAGCAATCGAGGGCTCCTGCCACTAAGTGGCAATGCAAGGCTGGCTAAAGGCAGTCACACTGCTGGCCCTGCAACCTGCTTTGGGAACACTCCATGCCAAGGCTCTCCTTGCAGCTGTAGGAATGTCCTGGCTTCCCTGCACTGCTGCTCCTGCAAGTCCAGCACGCTCTGGACATCTGTGTGTTGGCAGAGCCAAGCGAACATGCTGGGGCAGTTCAGGACCTGATTGTGTTGGATGGTGAGCACCCAGATCTACCCATGCAAAAACCCACACAGTGCCACTCTCTAGGACTGTTCCCCCAGGGAAGAGCCTGGGGCAAAGGCTCCTCCTTCCTAATCCCATTTCACCTGTGCCAGGAGCTCTCAGCAGTGCAATGCTCCGGAGGGAGAAGAAGAAGGCAGCCAAAAGAACCTGCTGCTCCTGCCAGCGCTGCTCAGCTCACAGGGAGCTGGTGGGGAAACATCAACCTAATTCATGGGAATAATCCACCAACCTGTTGCAATGTGCCTCCAGAAGGCATGCCCATCACTCCATGTACTGCACGGGTAGTAGGCTAAGCCAGGCAGGAGGAACAGGAAGGGGGAAGCACATTGAGCTGCTGCCTCCCCTGATTTCATCTCTCTCCATTGCTTCATCTCCAGCAATGTGGCCTCGCTCCATGAAACACCGTTTTGGCAACAGCAGGAGCTCGGCTGCATCCACAGGAAGATGGTGTGGAAACGTTTAACATCAGGTCCCTGGCCACCAAGTCCTAGCTTTACCAGATGCTTTTTTAAAGGCAATTTATTCTGAAGCCCCAGGTGAGGAGCCTGTCACCACTGGCTCAAGATGAGGGATTTCCATCATTTCATGGCTGGGCATGGAGACAGGATGCTCGGCAAGAGCAGCTATTTGGGAAAACCAAAGAACTCCTCCAGTTACCACAAATCTACACAACCGTGTGAGCCAGAGCCTGGGCTCTTTGAGCTAAACCAGAGCAACCCATCAGCCTTAAATCACAGCAATGCTTTAAGAAAACAACAAACTGCAGAAGCCTGCCCTAGGCAGAGGAAAGGACAGAGCCTCACTGTGCTATGGCTGCCTGCCCCTCCATGGTGGCACTGCCCAGCAAAGTGAGATGAAGTGGGCTGATCCTGCACAACATGATGAGCTGGGGCTCTGTGGGCCTGGATGGGCAGCTGGGACTGGGCATCCTTCACATCCTGTCCCCATTTGACATGCAGAAAAACACCACCCCAGTGGTGCTCTCCCAGGGCTCCTGCTTCTCCTTTGGTGGCTGAGGATGGTGTGGAGCTCCCACTGTGAGGCATGGAGGATTTGCATTGCCACGGTCCCTCCAGAGCCCTTCAGCTGCACCAACAGATGCTTTCCATGAGTCATTCCCTGATCCCACAGGAATAAGCCCAAAAGCACTTCAGCAGCCTGGCTGGGGAGCATGGGGCAGCCTGGGGAACCCAACACCCCCATGATGAGCAGGGCTTAAGGGGCAGCACTGAGCCCATGGGGACGGTGTCACCCAGGGCACAGTTTGCTGGTGTCTCTGGAGGACACTTCACTTTCTGACAGCTGCTTGTTACTGAACTGACCAGTGTTTTTATTAGACCACCTACAGAACTCCCCAGGCCAAAAATAAACCTCTGCAAAGGACTTCTTGTGCTAGCGAATCTGGCAGGTTTTGGAGCAGCCACCTCTTTATTTTCATGGGAATTTTCCACTGGGCTGGGTCACTGCACGTCACTTCTCAAGGGGGGTGCTAATGGGAACTGGTGCTGCAGGAGGGAAGAGGACTCCAGCCATTGCAGCATAGCCACTGCACACAGGAACAAGCAAGCGGGGCAAGAGCTCCCTGCTCAGCCCCAAACCATGCAATAATGTGACAGTAACAGACCCCAAGATGCTTCAGAGCTGGAAGATAAATCTCAGAGAGGACAGAAAAAAGCTGAGCAGGCAATCTGACAGCAGCAGTTCCCCACTAGCACACAGCAGAGGGGAGAGGAGCTACCACCCTAAGGTCAAATATCTGCAGCTCTTTCCTGCACAAGAAAAGGCCAAGCAAACATAAAGCACAGGCTGACAGGTAAGCCAGAAATATGAGTCTTTAGGGGCAACCCACAGCGAGGCCTCTGAGTGCTCTGGGGCCTGTCCTTGCCAGGTTTTAAGCTCTGGCTGTAGCTCTTAACTCACATCTTCTCCCAATTACTGCTGCTGCTTCGGTGAGGAGTCAGTGGTTAACAAGTTCCTCAGCATCTGGCTACCCCACAGACCCTTTGGGAGAAGGGTTTTGTAGAACCAGCTGTTTCTCCAAAGGCATCAGGTTTTAATCAGAGAACTCAAATGCACAGACTGGATCTCTGCAGCCACTGTTTGCAGCCGCTGTCTCTGATCCCACCTTGCACCGTGGCAGCAGAGCAGTTCCCTGCCCTGCACAGGCTGTATCCGAGCTCCAGTACTGATAAGCACAAAGGGACTGTTTTCTGCATCCAGACTTTTCTGTTACAGCAGCCACTTGGAAGCTGGTTTGCTTCTGGAGGAGCTGAAATATGCCAGTTTGGATACAGTACAGGACAGACAGAGAGGGGATGGCAAGGAGGAGACGATGACAACAAATCTCATGTTCCAGACCTAGATCAGCAAGGCACAACTATGGACACTGGTGCCAACTTTGGCATCCACATAGATGTGGGTGAGCACCAATGAGTATTCTTTAAAAAACTCCAAACCCAGCCTCATGCTTGAACAAAGAGCTGTCTTCACCGTGGCTCCACTACCTGGCATGAAGCTGCAGCTCCCTTGGAACACTGGCATACTTACAGGCAAAATACTGCCAGGGCTCGTAGGTAAGGCCAAAATCAGTAGATCTCTCCAGCACCCAGAGGTCAGGACGAGGGGAGTTGGCAAATTTGATGAGGACATATGCTACGTGGAAGAGCTGGAAGAAAGGAACACAGAGTTAGCTGGCTGCTCAAAGCATTGTGAAAACCAGGGAGAGCTTAGTAGGACCCAAGCTGAATAAACAAGCTGGCACTTTTCAGATGCTGCTGCTCCCAAGCAGCCTGCAGAGCAAAATCCTCCGTATCTAAAAGGATCATGATATGACATGGCTGCTGCAGAGCCAGATTAGGGAGCTCAGCTCCCACCAGAATGCAAACAGAACACAGACTTTGTGGATATGGGCTGTACTTGGGAGGCTGTGGTGGGCAATACCTTAGACTTAGCCTTGACCTGAGCAGGCAGCTCTACAATACATAGTACTACAGGTATGGAGCTGTTCTGGGGGACTTGACTTTTGGGTTGTTCTTGGGGTAACAGGTTCCCACTGCACCTTGCACACAATGCCACAACATCCTTAGTTTTATTTCGTGTTCTGAAGGCTCTCCATGTAGCAGCTCCCCTTCCCCAGGTGCCAGAGGGAAGGGAGAGCAGCACTTGCTTCAGCACAGCCCCGACGCTGGGCTGCTCCCATCTGTCTGGACACTGATGTGTGCACACACACCCCTGCCAAGAGTAAAATAAACGTACTCTTTAGAGAGCTAAAATGTCAGTGCTGGAATGAAACAAAAGCCGCAGCAGAATTTCCCTTCCCCGGCTGGCACAGGCTCGCTCCAAGAATCCCCACTCCATCATCCTGTCACAAAGTGATATTTAAAGGCAAATAAAGTTCTGTTATCAGAGAAAATTCCTAACGTCAAAAACAACCCAAAAGGGAGTTTAGCAGTTGAAATGCAGAGATTTATAGCTCAGGAGTCCCTCCTCATACAAAGCTGGTGCTGTATGAGCATACATCCCCCGAAGACTAACAGGTATCCAGAGGGACACTTCTACAAGGGCAGGAAAAGGATGGCCCCCTGCCTGTCTCAGCCCTCCTGCCCTTGCCATGACCAGCCGCAGAGGGGCCAGAACAGCAGCCTGAACCTCAGCTCTGCCCCAGCCACACACAGTGCTGAGCCAGAAGATGAGCATTAATAATACGCCTCCAACATAGCCCTGACAATCCAGAGAAGACTTGTTAAAGGGAACAAGAGACAAGGAAGAGGTATTTAATTCTACCAAGTCATCCGTAACACACATGTCTTGTTATGGTCATTCAGCTGAGGGGGTCCGAGTGCTGTTGTGTGGGTATGGAGCAAGAGGACAAGTGCACTTATCCCTGTGGATTGGCATCAGTTCAGTCTCCTCCTCAGCAGGACATACAGACAAAGACTTCCTCAGGCTCCTGCTGGATGCTGCTCTGGCTCTGCTGCAGTCTCTCCTCCACTTACCAGGGGTTGCTCTGGTTCCCACCACAGGCTGGCACCTGAACTTACACCTAGGTGTAGGCTAAGGGGACTTGAGGGACATGGTTGGGGAGGAGTGAACTCTGCATGATCCTGAAGCACAGCAGGTCAGAGGCCATTCTCCAGCTGCGGATGGGCAGGAGAATGGAATCTGTCACTACTATCGGGGTTTGCACTGGTAAGGACTGGTGCCATTGAGAATTAAGATATCAAAGTGGTCACCCAACACAGTTCCCTGCTGTCAAAAGACTTGCAAGTAGACTGAGAAAAAACAGACCTAAATGCTGCCTTAACTCCCCTCTGCAAGCTACATGTTGTCAAGGAACATGAGACTAACCTTTTTAGGAGAAGCAGCATTTTCTGCCTGTTTACCCTCTCAGCAGAGCTATTATTTGTTAGTGAAGCCCAAGAGGCTTCAGCTCAAGCAGCTGCTTTCTCTGCAGAACCAGTTCTCACAGCTCAACATCTTCCTCTTGGCATGGAAGTTGGCTGAGTACCAAGCAGTGAAGTTATACCTTCCCTCCACTGTAAATCCTCCTCCGGCTTTATTCTACAGGGAATAAATGAATGCTGCTGCTGGAATCTGCCATAGCCTTTAGGTGGACAAAATTCACTGCAGCTCCCATATACCTGCACACATTCTGGCCTCGGGCACTGGGAAAGCCTGTGCTCTGAATGAACAGCAACCACAAACACAACTCTGGAAATGTGAGGCATACCCCTATCTTCTGCACTTACCCTTTTGCAAAACCAGCTACAAGGTTATAGTCAGTAAATCCCCTGGAGTTTCTGGGGGGATCCTCACTGTCCAGCTTCGTGCTGGAAATAACATGTTCCTTATTAAACATCCTCAAGGTCACACTCCTCATGCTTTTAGAAGCTCTCAGAAATCCCCTGCCTCTGGAGAACAGGGGTTACGATCCAGTCAAACCAGTGCCTGGTGAGAGTCAGTTTTTGCACACTGAGACTTGAAGCAAAACCAAGCCTGGGGCTCAGGGCTCTACAAAGTGCAAACAACAGTCAAGAAAAGAACTAGTGCTGCTGGTTGCTGTGTGCACTCCCGGGACAGGGGAGTGGTGGGGTCGGGCATGCACAGGCTCATGACCCACACAAGCCCTCTCTAGCTGGAAGAAGATATAGCTGGTTTCAGGACATCTGAAGTCATGGGAGACACGTACACACACTGGGCACTGGGGAGAACTGTGTCCAGGCTTGCTGGGAGCTGAAAGGCCATTCCCAACCCCAGTGGCAGGGTTAAATATCCAAGACCAGGGGAACATGCCAACTATTTCTCTTTTATTGCTGCTTTTCAAATGAAAGAACAAGAACCTCTGGCTTCTTGCTGGGTCAACTACAGTATCTCAGCTGAAGCCCAGTTTGGATATTCCTATCCTGCACTCAAAGCCAAACATAATTCCCGAAGCTCCATACCCTAACCCATCACTAGCACTGCTGCACGCCGTTAGTCTGCTGCTGTTTTATTCCAGTCCTGATTGCAATTTTGGGACACAAAGGAGGCAGCCAACGTGCACACCCACTGCTCTCCATGACCATTCCTACATGGAGCACTGAAAATACCCAGGAGTCTGCGACCGCAGTGAACCCCATCCTGGAACAGGAGCCGCATCCTGGTATTCAGAGGGATGTGTGTCACATCTGGCCAGTCCCCCCCCCCTGTTGCTCCATCCCACATCCTTATCTTGCAGAATATCAGAGCCTGCCGGAAAACATCAAGGCAGATTGCTGCTTCCAGAGCATGTGCTGAGAAAACTCAGAGAGATACAGAGATGAAGCAGTAAACTCCAAAAATAGAGCTGGCAGAAAAGCCAGACTTTTCATTCCGTGTTTAGTTCCAGTACAGTTTTGCCCAACTAATATTGCAAGAGAAATAGTCGGGGGTTTTTCCAAAGCCTTTATTTAGCTCCTATTATCAGTCAGATGAATAAAGACCTCTATGCTCACAGTCCCTTAGGCAATTTTTTTCCCTTCTCCATGGAGGAAGGCGGTGAAGCACCAGATCTGATGCACACACTTGACCGCAGTCAAGCAGAGCCCTTGCTCTCACCCTTCTAAAAGCACACCAGGTCCAACTCAACCTTTGACCACCACCTGCGATTACATGAAATGAGTTTTCAGCCAGGAAATTCTGACAGGAGTACTTCAATTAGTAACAGCCTCCATCGAGCTGCTGTTGTGTTAGTGGGTTTGGTGTTTGTCCTTAGTAATAATCCCCTGTGGCTGCCCCAGTGTCTAGAAGGATGGAGCAAGTCCTGGAGCCAGTAGAGGAAGACGGAGATGAGGGCATTTCCTCCATCTCCCACCCACTCCATCCATTTGTGTGTTTGGTTAGTGGTCAGCTTTATCCAGCTCCAAAATCCCATGAAAATATAACACTGAATTACTGCCCTGTGTGAGAGTTCAAAGATTTGAAGAGTAAAACCAGGATCCAGAGAGGTAAGAGAAACACAGCTGACTTACAGCAGCACGTTCTCTGCCCATCCATCCATCTATCCACCTGAGTAAGCAGCACATGGTGGCAAACTTGCACATTTCTCTTCTATTCCCTCCCTCAAGACACTGATTTCAGTTTTCCAGCTCTGAGAGGCACATGTGGAAAACGAGAGCAAAGCTGGACCCAGCCACAGCCTGTATTTTGTTGGTGAGGGAGTTTTGGTGAAGTCTCACTGATGGTCCTCTGAGGAGCCACAAAGCCATACAGTAACATTTAATAAGCAAAGTAAATCTTCACGTTGTTGTAATCCTGGCAACTACATGTGGACAAATGGCAATAGAGGCCCTTGTCTGGCCTTCTGTCAACAAGGTAAAGCAGGCTGTGCTGGCCAGGAGCTATGTGTAGCTCTGCTCAGGGCCCTGGAGCACACAGGTGTAGTTTATATAGTAAACCACTCTCTAGTTTTACATAGGACAGATTTATTACCTTTGGTGTTGACTTATTAAATAGCACCATGTAAAAACAAAGCAGTTCATCTCTTCCTAACCGCTGCTAAATAGCCCTGTGGAGCATGTGTGGATAGCGTTACCAGTGCTGCCGTACTCCTGCTTGGGATTTCCTGGAAGGATCAGATGGAGCAGGCGAGCAGGTGCTGCTCAGCGCATGGGCAATAAATCCCAATCTCAGGGGCACATGAGGCCTCCTAGATACACACCGCACGGCCAGGAGCAGTGGCTAACAGCAGTTTAGGGCATACTGCACCGCAGCCTGCATCACGCACAGCAGCTCCAGCCATAGAATCACATCTGCAAAGCCTGGTCTGAAGCAGGGAAAGCAGGAAAAACCCAGATGAACCATTTCACAACTACTGTGTAAGTGGTTTTGGTCTTTTTCTTCATTTTTCCTCAAAGCTTTCAAAAGCGATCAATGCTTTTGCTTCCTCCCAAGCCCATCCATTCCTTGGGCCAACACTGCAGCTACAAGCCCAAACCTGGAAGATGTGGCAGAGGCCAGAGCCTGGACGGGGTTATGGGTCCACAACACCAAGGAAAAGCAGCTCCCTGGGAGCACAGTTCACCTCTGCCCAGCAATAGCTGCCCAACTACTGTGGGCACAGCAGCACTCAGCAGGCTTGGAAACACACAGCGGCGCTGGCACCACATCTGCTCTTCCCAACAGTGGCCAAAGCTAAAGCGAGTAAGT